TATTTAAAAACATAATATAATTAAGCTACAATTCGCAAAAAGCCGTGCCCGGATACTTTCTTCAGGGGAGTGTATATTCTTTGATTCATGAATTTCATAATCGAGATCTCAATCATGATCGATTAAAAATCGAATTATTTATTTGATCACGTGTGATCGATTCCTTAATGCATTGTTAAATCATATTCTTAAATTGTATTGTAAACAAAAGAATTTGAAATTCAATACTTTTTATACTTAATATTTACAAGGAATATCCCTACCAAAGCATATTTAAAGAATTACTTCAAAATGGTAAGTGAAATTTTATCTGATGACTATGGGTTTTTCATTCTTTGAATATCATACGTAATTTTTTATTTTTAAAAAAAAAAAAAAAAAAAAAAAAGGCCGATGATGCTAGAGCTACTCAGTTTCATGCAATTATCGACGGAAGTTCGCACCCTGAAAATACTCCACTTTGTAATGAAATAAAGGTTTGGCAAGGCCCCGCCAGATTTTTTTCAATAATGCTAAATTCGAGACAACCGATTTTGAATTTCTTATAAGGATACGTGTTGGCGGGAAGCAAGGCGATGATTAAAAGATTAAGAAAACTTGGGTTGGGCTTTAACTCATATTACCACTTTACTGATGTTCAGAATTTCATCAGCGGCGATTTTATTGCGTTTTTGGATCCTCTCGAGAAATTCTTGCCAAGAAGACAAGGCGTGACATCATTTGCCCTTTTCCAACAAATGGCATTGCGGATAAGGACCGATTGGCTCCTTATATAGTCATCGAAGGCATAAATTTTCGATTGACTTTTGAAGGGATACTCTTTCGAATTCCACTCAGGAAACAAACCAAGTGATATATCCGACATTATTTATACTACGGAACAGATCTTAGCATTATTCATCCAACTTAAATCAACAATTTCCTCCCAATGATTATTTCTTCGAAATATCGAAACAATTGAAATTTCTTATAAAGTTCCATATCAAAACGACTTCAATTTGTAAAGCAATCATATCAGGATCGAGTGAAAGAAGAAATGTCATATATTATGCATTTCAACCTTTCCAAATTGAGATTGAGCTAATTGGTTCAATCAACATACAAAAGAATATTGGATTATTGTCACTGATCTCAACAATATCCTAAATTTCGTCTTATGCAAACAGCATAATGCAGATATCTTTTGCCAGAAATCTTTCATCAATATAAAATAAAGTCTTCCTCAATTTTGTTGAATGATAGTGACAAACCTTTTCGTCGAATTTTAACTGAACTTTATGCTCCCACGCGAGACGTCGATGTGTTTACCTTTGAGGACGTAGAATTGCCTAGAGAGTATGATAACGAGTATTGAATTCCTAAAAGACATAATTAAAGAGAATCGAATTGTTCAAGGTTTAGGAAATAAACGCTGGTTTCCCAATTCAAATACAGAAAATCACCGAATATACGATTATGATAACCTGGTTTTTCGGACCGTATTTGGCAGAGACTTTAATGGTTTTTTTATCCTCGAATTTTCATCATACTCGGGGATTTTATTAACCATTGGATTTAAAAATAAAATCAATCAAGAGATATTCAAAAAGGACCCGAACAATGCTAATATAGGTAACATCCAGCCAAAAAAAAATTACTAATGTCTGTACGCAGCATTTTTTACTATAGTCCGTACGCAATTTTGGCTTCTGACTTTCAAAATTATAATAAAATATGCATTCCGAACATCTGACTATAATAAAAAAAATTTTTTACTTTATATATTGCACTGGGATATCTCGAATTTAGAGAAGTGAAAATAATGAAAATAAATAATTAAGATAATAATAAAATGAAAATTTAAAATGATAAAAAAAAAAGTCCAAGAAGGGGGTCTGGGATACTTTGGTACCCCTAGAAATTTTTTTTTTTTACACGATAGAAACATTAGGTTCCGCAACCTTTTTTATTATTAATTATATAGATTATAATGTAAAATGTCGAGCGACTATTATAATGATTATCAGATTATGCGACCATAATTATGATTAAATTAGATATTTCTAAAAAAGGAAGTATCGGTCAAAAATATATTAAAAATAAGCAATCTCAACACATTACTATTTTAAAATCCAAATAAATGACTTGATCATAATTTTGAGCAATTATACGCATTCTAAAATCTAACCAATTAATATCTACTAAGGTGGTGACGCATTATCTCCTATCACCTATATTAGTATTGTTCGGGTCCTATTCAAAATGTGTGCTATTAAGGTCAAAGAATAGTGAACCCCATCTGATATACGTTATCGTGGCTTTATTGAAAATATTCATGAAGATAATAGATTGTAATAGTTCCTCTTTGAACTTGGAAGTTTTCTAACATGGAAAGATGCATCTAAAAACATAAACAATAGGCACAACAGCAAGTTTTTAGGGTTCGTAAAGGAAGATCTGAAAGGTAGATTCTAAACGAAAAAAGCAAACAACAAGTGTCATTTTGAAGGTGTATCGTATATAATAACAAATCAAAAAGAATAAAATAAAACAATCAAAATCACATCGCGTGCGAAATCACAACGTGCAACTTATCCATTAGATACTAATCAGAGCAATTATTAGTTTAGTGGCTCGAATCACAACTCAGCCATGTTCTTTTTTAAATGTTTACTATATATTTATTTTTTATTTCATTTCATTTTTTTTTTTTTGCATTTACGTTAGTAAAAAAGTAAGTTTTTTTAATACCTTAGTATAGTTGCCTGGCAAAACACTCGGGTTTCAACGGGCAATCCCGTCGAAACTAGAAACCATAATAAATCCCGTCAAAAGTCAAAACTATAAATATACTTATTAACAAATCCGTCAAAACATAGCATTATGGACATTTAACTTATCTGCGATTTTATTGGCTGAATTTTGTGATGATCATTTTTGAAATATCACGTAATTATTAATTTTGATTGGTACAATATTGATCATCATAAAAATTACCAAAATAGAAAGGTTGGTTTTAAACTATTAAAAAATATTTTTTGGCTATTTTATTATAATAGGATTGGCAATCCTAGTTCAGTTGGTAACAACTGAATTCCTATTGTGGGTTACACTGCAATAGCTACCTAAAGTTTATAATTTAGACGAGTAAATAACTTTAATAACTTATAACAATAAACATGATTGACACGTTGAAGGATTTTTAATATGTATCAATCATGTTTATTATTATAAGTTGTTAAAATTATTTACTTGTCTAAATTATAAACCTAAAGTTAATTGTGATAGAACTTATTCCATAGTAACTTAGTAGTTTCTCACATATTACTCCCTGTTATTAAGTTATCATTACCCTATGTTTGACAGACTGAACGTAGGGTTAACAAATTAGTGATTTCTGCTAGGTTTATAATTATCTCTAATATACTTATATGAATATACCCACTAGTTTTAATATTCTAAAAATAATTCAAAAATATCATAAAGAAGCATACAGAAATAATTCACCTTTAAAAAATGATACATATTGTATAAAGTGCAATCCTATTAATCAAACAATAACAGAAAACTTTAAAAACTTTTAGAACTAAATCTTTAGTGAATATAATACTACTACATTTAGTGGTTATTCTTTAGTAGCATTCAAGCTTTATTTAGATAACTACTGTAAAAATGCTCATAATAGTAATAAAACAATAAAAGCAGCAGTTGCACTATTATATTATTTAAATTATTCCTTATATCCTGCTGATTTATCTTCTGTTTTACAACATTTATTATTAATCATCTATACTACTGAGTATTTTGAAAAAGTTTTTAATACTTCTATTTTACCTCTTACTCCTATACTTATAACTTCTGAATCAACTAAGTTAATGATAAATATTGAATAGCTAAAAAATTTCATAGATCATATGACGAAAATTTTAAAGATCTTGCTAAAGATATTAAAAATACTCTATCTAATTTAG